ATGTAGATGTAGAGGAAACCTATGTTAGATTTATTCTTTAACTACCTCTCTGATCCATACAGCTCCCAGGCTTTGGCGAGTCCCCTGGCCAAACCAGCGGCAGGGTTGTTGTCTAGGATTCGCTGGCTCTCCTCTGGTCTACCAGCCACCTTCAGGACATGTCTGTGAGGCCAGAGCACCTTTAATAGACCTTATACTTTGGTTCTGTCTTCTTTTCCATGTTCAAACAGTCATTAAACCACCAACACTATTAAACTTTGCTGACAAATTTGAATAAATGACATAATACATTTCGAAAAAATATAATAATCAAGAATTTAATTTCTGTCACTTAATTTAACTTTTTTTATATGCACTAATATTTCTTTTTTACAAGTGTTTAAATCTGTGGGATGTGTTGCTGATAGACTCACTTGTGTACTTGAGGTGTGCGTGAGGAGAGGCCCCCAAAGCTTGCAGCAATCGTGTTGATCTCTATCTGCTTCAGAGAAGACGTGCCGTCCTCTCTCTGGTCCAACATGTAGTCGGAACGATTAAGACCCAGAACAACAGACTGAAATCAAAAAAGGAGAAAAGAAAGAGAAGCCAAAAGATGAAGGAACTGACTGAGTTTAACTTAAAAACTTTCAGCACAAACGTAGATCTTTACATTATTTTGTAAGAACTTCTTTGAAACACCAAACATAATTCACAGACCTACCGTGCTTCATTGTACTATTGACATAATTCAACTGGCAACCTATATTCCTAAAATCTTCAGAGAAAACTGAACTGAGCAAATAAAACGCTTCAAACATGTAAATCTAGGTAGACCTCCTGTTAGCTCAACGTCCCCCCGCAAGCAAGAATCTTATCTGATCAATAATTTAACGCCAGAGACTTTATAAATTATCAAAGCAGACAGAAATAAATTTCAACAGATTTTTAAACACATCAATGCAACAAAGAACCTGCAAACATGCCTCATTGGCTGTAAAGTTACTATAAATATTCGTAATCATCCAACTTTTAACTTGATGTTTTAAAAACCAAATCATTTTGCTTTAAAAACCAAAACATCATCGTTAATTATAACCAAGCGTTTTTTATGCATTGCTTAACTAAATTAAGGCTGGAGAATATGGCTTGATTAATAATCCCTGATTTTCATTTTGTTTCCCTTCCTTTCTTTTCATAAAAAAAATAACTAATTTGAAATTACAGCACAATTAATTTTAAAGTTTTGCTTTATACTTATTAATCATCCCCTCTGGGGAACTTGAACTTAAAGTGAAACAAATTAAAAGCTGTAAAACATGTTTTTTAAGTCAGGTTGGCAGGCTCTGCCATTGCAAGCAGCTAGTGGTTTGACACAATCAGCTTGTTTATCAAATATGGGTATATAAGAGCAAACAGTGGTGGCCTCAGATCACTGCAGCAATGGTGACGAACAAAATTGAGATTTTCTAAAACATGTAATCTTCATAAACAACAAATTAGAATAATATATAAGTTGAATATATTTCCTAAGCCTAACGGAAACGTTATCAAAGGTTTTGGTTTAAAGTTTTCTAAGGAAAACCAGCTGATTGTATTCGGCTCCTTGACTGGAAAGGAACCCCTCATATCATATGATATCAATTTCTGGGTCACATCCTGACTAATGATGACCCTTTTGTTTTTGTCTTAGTTTGTTTCTCCACTTAAGTTTGGAAAATTGTCCAAAAGATCTCAATGGAGGATCCAAATATGATCGTTTGACCAAAATCTAAAAAACATTGTGCAACATCACCTCTTACACTGAAGCTATGATAAAAATCTAGAAGCTGTATGAATGTAAGCAAATGAATCTTCCTCACATCAACCCACCTGGGACCTTCCTTCTTTGAGGATTTGCTGGTGGATCTTGAACAACCTTGCAGTGAAATCATCCACTTCAATAGTGCTGTAAAATTCAGGACCAGCTTTAAAAACATCACAATCCTGACGAATAGTCTTTTTGATTCCAGTCTATCATAATATCAAATAAAAAACAGAAACAAAAAAATGTTTAATGGCTCCGACCTGGCTAAAGCCTTTTGCAGGAACTCTGTGTCCTGGCTTATCTTGTCCACCATTGTGTTGAAGTGAGTCTGCACTGCAAGAGCCTGGATGAACACGGATTTGGGCACAGGCGAGGGGAAGAGGGTGAATGGAGCATATGTAACCAACTGCAGGGGAAGAAAAATGTATGAAAAACTATCAGCAGGTCTTTCAGGCGATGACTGAGAAGAAAAACTCCATTGGTGCTAAAATAACAACATTGTTATTTTAAACAGGATTAAAACTGAGCCATCTTAAATCCCGACTCGTAAAGCAAAGCAAATTCCTGACATGATTGCACTTCTAATTCATAAACAGTACATGCAGACAGACTCCTACTGAACATTTCCAGTTTCCAAGGCTACGAGTTTTAAGTCACTGATGGCATACATTTTGCACTCTATGTTTTACAATTCTCTTGCATGAAGATTCAGTGTTTATGCATCTAAATGTCCAAAGCAAGGGGAACCTTTTCAAGCTACATCGATATCAACAGCCTAAAAACATAGTCTTTGAATTTCAGGGCAGCAAAAAAAAAAAAAAAAAAAAACATGTTTAAAAAAGTGCACCTCAGATGAGTTTGGAGTTTCCTTGGTTCTCATTAATACTCCCTGCAGAAGTGCTTCATCTTTTGCCACGTCTGCTAATTCTTTGATCAGAGTAGAGTTCATCATCAGCTCATCTGGGACACTGGAGGCCATTCTGGTAAAAAAATAAGACATAAGAAAAAGCCAAAAGATTTATACAAGCCACTAAATGTTGCTATAGCTGAATTTGCAAGTAAAGTATCATATTTAAGTGACAAAATACACAAGCTATGAAATTTTCTATAATTAAGTTTGTAGAGAAGAATGTAACTAAATGTTTAAAAAGAAATAAAATGATAATCATTCCTATACTTTTTTAGATGCTTTCAATGTTTAAAAACAGTCAAAAGAACATAACAGTGTTTTAGGTTAACAGGATTTATCAAAGTAAGCTCTGGTTCTTCTTTAGTTTTAAATGGCAATACTTATTTACAGAGCTAGAAGAAACGATTATGAATAATTATTCAACAAAAGTGTGAAGTGTATGATGCCATAATTAAGTAATGTTCTTGTACTATTTAATTACACTGTGTGCAGAATTATTAGGCAAATGAGTATTTCGACCACATCATCCTTTTCACACGTTGTCCTACTCCAAGCTTTATAGGCTTGAAAGCCAGCTTCCAATTAATTAAATCAGGTCTTATGGATCTCTGTAATGAGAAGGGGTGTGGCCTAATGACATAAACATCCTATATAAGGTGTGCTTAAACCTTGACGGTTTTCGCAAGAGAGGAGGGGCTTGGGTGCATGGCGCGTGTTTTGAAGCCGCTTGTGGAGAAATGTCCTGGGCAGTGAGTAGCGAGGAAACAGGAAGCAATTCTTGGGGTTTCGAAGAGGGAAATAGTGACAAAGAAGAAGACTGGAAGAGAGTAGTGTCAAAAAATGAGAAAAAAAAAACGGAAAAAGCAGAAATCAGTTGAAGGGGAGTCCAGTTCAGAACTGTCAAACGAAAGGAAAGCTACTCTATTCTTTCGTTGCCTTGCATCTGTATTTGCTGTGATCAGTGGGAATAAAGTAGTTTTAATATGTTTTTAAGTGAGAAAATCCACCTGAAATAATATTTCTGTCGGAGCTGCTCAGACCCCCACATACCGGCGGTGCGCTGTATGGAAGGCCCCATTCAGCAGCAGCCTCTGGCCGGGTCGCCTCCTCGCGGTTCACCGCGGCGGTTGGTAGGTGTTTTTCATCTAAATAATCTAAACTGCAGGCACCAGAATAATAAAAGCGAACATATTCTGCCGGCAGGTTTCAGTTTTTTAAGTTGATTTAGGCGTTAATAAACTGTTTCAGAGGAGTGATCACAGCGCTCTGTGTCATTAGCAATGTGTATGTCTCAAGGCCAGCTCCCAGATCAGCTTCTCTGATTGGTTGACGCGGCGCGTCGAGCAGCAAAAGTAAAATTTTTCCAACTCGAGCAGCTGCGGGACGTTTTGCTGCGCCTTGACACGCGTCAACCATTGACTTTGCATGTAAACTCGCTGCTTCTGTCGCGCCTGCTGCGTCCGGTGTGAACGCAGCATTAGCCACCAGATGTGCCATATTTCAGAGCTGCATAAGGTGCTCATTACTCAGTACCTGGCCAAGGTAAGGAAAGCTGAAAAAAGGCCACCTTTGAACAAAATTTCAAGATTGGGCCAAGAAATATCTGAAGACTGATTTCTTCAAGGTGTTTTGGTCTGATGAAATGAGAGCGAGTCTTGATGGGCTAGATGGATGGATGGCCACAAGGCTGGATCAGTAAAAGGCAGCAAGTTCCTTATAGACTAAGACACCAGCAAGGTGGAGGTGGGGTACTGGTATGGGCTGGTATCATCAACGATGAGCTGGTGGGACCTTTTCGGGTTGATGATGGAGTCAAGATCAACTCCCAGACCTACTGCCAGTTTCTGGAAGACACCTTCTTCAAACAGTGGTAGAAGATTCAGTCAAGAAAAACCTGATATTCATGCCGAACAATGCTCTGTCAAACGCATCAAAATACACCACAACGTGGCTGGCCAGAAAAAGTCTAAAAGGGGGAAAAAATGACATGGCCCCCTTGTTCACCTGATCTGAACCCCATGGAGAACCTGTTGTCCTTGAAATGTGAGATCTACATGGAGGGGAAACAGTACAGCTCTCTGAACAGTGTCTGGGAGGCCGGGATGGCTGCTTCACGCAATGTGGATGGCAAACAGATCAACGGACAGAATCTATGGATGGATGGAGTGTCATGGTGAAGAAAGGTGGCTGTATTGGTCACAATTTTTTTTTTTTTTTTTTGAATGTCTATTGAAATGTTTAGTTCTGAAATTTGAGTTTTTATATTAAGGAGTCTTTGGGTTGATTGAGAACACAATTGTGGCCCAATAATAAAAATTATCCCTAAAAATACAACTTGCCAAATAATTCTGCTCACAGTGTACACACCCCCCAACTGTTAGCACACACAAAATCAAATTAGACTGATTCTATCAGATAAGCGATTATAGATCACTCAGCTTACAGCCTGAAACAAAAACAAAACAACGCATTGATAAAGATAAATGTCTGATTCCTTAAAGACAGCATTAAAATAACTAAAACAACAAAAAATATATAAAAAAAAATATTACCATCTCCTTGCTATCACTAGAACGCAATTAGCAGAGGTAGAACAAAACGACAAGGTAATAATAAAAAAAAATCCATATGACACCTTCATATTTATAAATCATTTAAATCCTAGCTACTGTAAAACAGGTCTGTGATGGGTGGTTCTTGTACTGTAGCTCATAGCCTCCTACCTTAGCTAGCTATAGCTAGAGTGTTTACGCGTTAAACACAAAAAGTAGAGCCTGTATCAGGTTACAGGGACCGTGTCTTTAGTTGCTTTCAAAATGTTAAACCTGCATAAAAAACACGACTCTGAAATACAGGATCCGCCAAATAGCGTAACGGGGTGCTGTAGAGCGACAGGTTGTTACATGGGAAATGTATTCACAAATTACATTTAAACACATCACACGTCGCCTGAGATTTCTTAGATTTCAGAGCAAAAGCTAAACCAAATGTTTACTTACTTCAGTATTTAAGTTCAATGCATGGAAGTTCTTTGAAATGAATGCAGACAGCAAGATGGAGCAAAATGCATGTTTCATCTGATTCGTTGGATAGCTTAACGCTGCATTCAATGTACCTCGGATTATTGAAAGTATTCCGAAGTAAAGTATTCTAGATCTTTGCTCTTGTTACTTCGTGTCCTTTTTACGTTAGGTAACCAAAGGCCAAGGATATATATGTGGTTAGTAAAGATACAGAGTAGTTATAAAATACCAAAAATACGTATAATAATATAACAGTCTTACAATAAATTTTCATATACCTTTAAAGGATAACCCATTTTTACAATCTCCTTCGAATGCATCAGCCAAAGGTGATTGGTTAAAGTAAAACCTTTCAACCAATCGCAATTCTTGACGTAACGAATGTAGTATAAAGTGCAAAGTATGGCTGAATATTGCTGACGAAAGATGAAATAGCAGTTTCGTTTGTATGACACGAAGAAAGTCGGCTAAGCGTGACGAAGGTGACTCATATATGTTGATGTGTTATCTGATCTTGTAGATACATTGTTTTAAAATTAAGTATTCGCTTACATTAAAGGTACTAGATTATTTCCTTTCTGACTTTACATTTGACTGAGATTTTCCTTATTTACCTTATTGTATTTGCTCAATCTGACAGTAATGACACAAACAATGTTTTAAAGAAATGATTTGGCTTAATGATTTTGAGTGGCTATAAGAAATGCTCTCAAAGAGATTTTTAAATGAGCTGCAGAGGAATGTTTGAGCTAGGTAGCAAAAAACATGACATGACTTGACAGAAGACAATAGCACAGAATCCCAGTAAACTGTTGTGAGGATCATTGAAATGTTTTGTCCAAACCATACAGTGTAAAAAAAAACAACAATTTAATCAAATACTAAGGAGATTTGTGGCGACTTCCAAATTACTAAAAGCCATATTTTTCAGTTAAGTTGATCCTGATGTTTTATCAGTAAACAAGAAAAATGGTTATGGTGCCTTTTACAGTGTTTGAAAACATTTAGTTTTATTTATTGATGCAGTTAAAAACAGGGTGTTTCGTTGACATGGGAATACTAAGGGCTTCAGTGATTTTATCTGACAAAATACCTGTTTTTAGCCTTTTTAGCATTCTGTTAAAACCCGAATATTGCAATATGTACTGTCCACTGTGTAAACATCTAGATACATTTGATTTAACCCATAAATATCAAAGCAACAGTTTATGAAAAACGTTTGAAAAGAAATTATTATCAATAATGGTTCCTAGAATTTCTCAAATTAGAATTGGAGGCAGATCTTTTAGTTATCAGGCTCCTCTCCTGTGCAAACAACTTATAGTTTTAGCCTGTGAAGCAGAGACCCTGTTTACTTTTAAGAGTAGGCTTAAAACTTTCCTTGTTGATAAAGCTTATAGTTAGAATGGTTCAGGTTTTCCTGAGGTATCTCTAAAATTATGCTACTATAGGCTTAGACTGCTGGAAGACATAGGGACCCCTTTTCATCATTCTGCTTTATTCTCTCATTATTTTCCCATTTTGCAATATTTGTTAGTTTAATTTCTAAGTCTGCCATCAACACCTTTGTTTATAGAAATTGGAGCTTGGCTTGTTTTTCAGGGTTGTTCTGTTTCTCTGACTGTGACTGGCTGGATGTTATCTCTGTGATCCTCTTGACATGGGAGCTGTCTCAGAGCTTTTTTACCTGGCTGTGTGCTTCCTGGAAGGCGCTTCCTCTGGAGCTGGTTGACTGTTATCTTTTATATCTCTGCTTCTTTCTGTGCCTGTGCTTCTGTCTCCTTGAACCCCAGTCGGCCTTGGCAGATGGCCGCTCACACTGAGCCTGGTTTTGCTTCTTCTTCTTGTGAGATTTTATGGTAGTTGGCAACTAGTTAAAAGTGCATTACCGCTACCAACTGATAAGTTAAGCAAGGAAACAGGAAACGACTCACACCCAGAAAAAAAAAGAATAATCATAATAATAATTTCCAAACTGTTTAACTGAACTCAATTTTATAAATACTTAATTAAATTTGACCTCATAATTTCTAATTTATCTTTAGGTCTTCATCACACTGCCAGTTTCTGATGATCCTACTGGTTTTCCTATCATGCTTTCCACCATTTTCCAGTTTAAATCTTTAACTTCTAGATATTTTTCTTGAGCTTTAACTATTATTTAGATTTTTTTTTTTCAGTTTTTCTCATCATCTGTGCACTACAATTGATCATTCAACCATGAAAAGAACAAAATCTTTCTTTTTTACAATCAGTGAATCTTAAATTTTGGGACATTTCTCCAGAGGTTTTAAATTTGCCATGTGCTGGGATGGGATCCTTTTTGCTGCTTTGGCATAAGTTATTCAGAGCTCAAATTTTTTTAATTTCTTCAGATCTTTTACTCACTTCACAGCCATGATATGCAGTATGTTCTCCACCACAGTTATAGCATTTGATCTTAGCTTCTTTCCCACATTTTCCGTATTCATGCTCTCCAGCACACCTTCCACATCGCTGTTTTCCTTTGCATACTGCTGCTATATGTCCAAATTTTTGGCATTTGAAGCATCTAAGAGGCAGAGGATTGTAAATTTTGACATTGTAGCTCATGTATCCAATGAAAATCTTGCTGGGTAACTGCTCTTCTTTAAATCTAATTAACACAGACAAGCTGTCACGCCGTTCTCCATTTCTCTTAGTTTTTAACCATTTCACTTCTTTACTTTTGCACCACTTATGTTTTGTAGAATCTCTTTTTCAGAAACTTTTAGAGGAACTCCTCCAATGACTCCCCTCATAATCTTTTTGTTTTCCACCAAGCTGCACTGAACTCTTTTTCCCCTCAATCATGTTAATTCGTATTGCTTTGCTTTGTTGAGCACTGTCTCTGCAGTTGATTAATAGGTCTCCACTATACAGGATTTTGGCACTTTGTACTTCTCCTACGAGTTTATTTATCAATTTTGTTAATTGAACCGGATTCCAATCTGAAAAAGAGTCTTTTTGATTGACTAGTTTGAATATGACATTGTACTCATTTTGTTTTCCTGTTGAATTTCTCGATTGTTCATCACTTGACTGTTATGAACTAGACCCCCCTTCAGTTAATCTCTGCTTTTTCCCCTTTTTTTCATTTTATGACGCTACTCTCTCCCAATCTTCTTCGTTTTCACTATTTCCCTCTTCCATCCCACAAGAATCGCTTTCTGTTTCATCGCTACTCACTGCCCAGGACATTTCTCCACAAACGACTTAAACACACGCCATCTTAATATGCAACCTCTGAGAGCGTCCCAATGTTCCAATTACAGCCTGGTTCTGCTGGAGGTTTCTTCTTGTTAAAAGGGAGTTTTCCTCTCCACTCCCCTACAGGCATTCTTGGTGTGAGGGATTGCTTTCAAGTCAGTGAGTTGATGCAATCAACTGGTTTTCCTAAGACGGAAAACTTTGACCCAGACTGACTGTATGATCTGGTAAATTTTCTCTGTCAAGTGCCTGACATGTATTGTAAATTGGTACTATATAGATAAACTGATTTTAATTAGAATTGAATAGATCTTTGAGGATGAGGGTTTGGGTAGATTTAAAATATTAAGCTGTATTGAAAGTAAACAGAAATGATAACTGCATAGTGTGTAATCATTTTTTAATGAGCAACAGGTTTGGTGTGAAGAATTAGTAAAGATATATACATGGAAAGATTCACACAGTAGAATATGTAATTTGATTAAATTAAATTCAGTCATTTATCATTTCGCTCCAGTTCACAAAACAGATATAAGGGGGAGGGGGGGCGGGTTACCATTAGGCAATGCTAGAGAGTTGCCTAGGGTCCCAAGTTTCTGTGGGTCCCATAAAACTCTGTTAATACAACTATTCCTTACTTGTGCACATTTATTATGTTTTTGATAAAAAAAATCCTTGCCATCAGAACGCTTATAATATTAAGTGTGTCTCAGCCCCCCTCCCCCTTCAGTGTCCACCATATTGGATCAGTCCATTTGCTACACATGTTGCTATATTTAGCGACTTTTCAGACCCCTCTGGCACTTTTATTTTTAAAAAAGCACCTAGTGCCAAATCTAGTGACTTTATTTCTGCTAGTGGAAACTTTGGTGACAACATATAAAAGCACCAAACTCTGCTCTCCAGAGCAAGTAGATTGGTAACCCCGCCTCCTGCTCTCCTCTATCTTGTCTGCTGTCATGATTCATGCAGCTATTATTTCATCCAAATGAAAAATGGAAAACAGATGAGCAGATCATGGTTTGTCTGCAGTGAAGAGAAGGACTGGGTTATTTACTTTTGCAGTTTTGGGAACACAGGAAGGAACAATCAGCTAAGTGAGCTTAGTGCTTGGAAAAAATCTTTCATTTCTTTTGAGACAGCATGAAAAGTCAGCTGAGTACAAAACATAGAGAGGAAAACAACAAGAAAAGGGACAAAAAGAGAGGGACAAAAAATAGAACAAATAATGTATGTCTATTCAATTAAAATGCCTGAATCCGTATCATGGGTCAGTTTTATGTGTTGTATTGCCCCATACCTGTTTTTGCCTAGGGCCCCAAATTTCTTAAATCTGCCCCTGACAGAGATAATATAGTCACATTTACAATAACATTTACAAAAGCAAAACTATTGAATTCTAAATGTAATTTCAGAAATTTTTAAACCTAGCTGCTCCAGACAGACAGAGGGAGCCAAAATGTTTATTATCAAGTGAGCATGATCTTCTTGTAGACTTCCTCCGTTTCATAACTCCTTTTGAATCCAGACCTTTCTCCAGGCTATTCTTCTGGTTCTAGTCAAGATTCTTGGGACAGCATATGAACAGGGGAGAACAGATACAAAGATCAAGTGCACTTGCATTATTTATTAAGAATTTGGCTTTAATATAATGATCAGGAGTCACTGAACTGTGATTGCATGTGATATTTTGTTTCTGTTTCCTGGGTCTGCTTGTAGATGGCGAGTGGACAGCTGTCCAGGGACGAAGCGTTGGAATGCTCTCAGTGCAGGCATGCATGCCACGTGATGCTCTACTCTAACACAGCATCTAAGCTGTTTGGCAAAATTCCAATCAGGCACATTGTACTGGTGAGTTTG